CTCTCTCTTGTCTGAAGGTTTTCATACATATTACTATGTGTCTTTTACAGAATTTAATAGCAGCCGTTGGATGTTCCATAGGATATGGATCTCCCTTGACTCTTACAGATACATCAAATAAGATAAAAAGGGGAACAAAAGGCGATGCCTCAATGTTAAGGCCCACACTGATGGCAGCTGTCCCTGCAATTCTTGATCGTGTTCGAGATGGTGTGCGCAAAAAGGTCTCAAATCAACACACATGCCATTTACTTTTGTTTCCTTGGGCGTAAATTTTAGGATGATCTAGTATACATATTAAAACTACACTTTAAAAACTTCAGGTAGATTCTACAGGTGGACTAGCAAAAACATTGTTTGATTTGGCATACTCCCGTCGACTGTCTGCAATAAATGGAAGTTGGTTTGGAGCATGGGGCTTAGAGAGGCTTTTATGGAACTTTCTTGTGTTTAGAAAAATTCGAGAAATCTTGGGTGGTCGTATCCGTTTCATACTATGTGGAGGCGCTCCTCTTTCTGCTGAAACTCAACGATTCATCAATATATGTCTTGGGTTAGTGTTTCTATATACTTAAAATGATAAAAACCAATCATGACATATTCTCTAAATTGGTTATTTCTATTACGCACTCTCTCTCTCTCTCTCACCCTCATTCAAGTGGCTTTGGACAGAACCAAAAATAAAATAAAACATAAATAAAAAAAAGCTTAAACTAAAATCTTATAATCTAAACAAAAGAATTTTCACAATATAACATTAAGCAAAACATGTATTAACTCGAAATTGTTTCTATGATTGTCTCTTAAGTGAGTTAACAATTCAGTCAAGTTCTCTGTGCTTGTATCTCTCAGAACTGCTGGCTGAAATTAAAGCATTCTTACTATTTTCTCGCAATCTGGATATTTAAATTAAACTATCTCTTTTAAGTTTTAACAGTTAAAGCTTTTGTGTATAAGTTTCGTATCAATATCGCTTTAAACATTTTGGAATGTTTGTTAGGGAGGATTGGATAGGACTTCTTGTTCGTCAACTATTGTGTATTAAACATGCCCTTAAAGTTTGTGCTAAAGTGAAGTGACTAAAATGTCTTTCTTTTTCCTTTCCACGATTGAACCATTCAAACACAAAACAACATATCCTTTTTTATGCCGTAGAAATAGTTCACCACACTTCAGTTTATGCCCTGCAGTGATGCACCATATAGGAGTTTCTAAATTTTCCTCGTCTTCTGCTATGCTTTCATTCTTCCTTTGGACTCAATCATGTAACCCTTAATTGTTCGTTATTTTCAGTGCTCCAATAGGTCAAGGGTATGGTCTTACTGAAACTTGTGCTGGTGGAACATTTAGTGAATATGATGATACATCTGTTGGTCGAGTTGGCCCTCCGCTACCTTGCTCATTCATCAAGGTAAAATCTACACAATTGTATTTCACTTCAAAGTGTCACACATGCCTTTTCAGTATGCGTATTTCTTCTTCATGTATTAAAGAGAAATAATTTCTGTTTTGGAGTATTGGATTGCTTATCTTAATTCTTTATTTTTAAACATCCTGGAAAAAAAAAGTGTTTTACGTATAATTTATCTCTAAATTTCAGTTGGTAGATTGGCCTGAGGGTGGATATTTAGTTAGCAATTCTCCAATGCCGCGTGGAGAAATAGTTGTTGGTGGACCAAATGTTACCCTTGGATATTTCAAAAATGAGGAGAAAACAAAGGAAGTGTATAAGGTAAGTAATTTTGAAATTTTGTGCTTGTTTTTTTGCATCTCACACTGACAAAGAGCATGTTTGATTACGTCGCAGAATTTTACTTATCAGTGAATAAGTAACTTTTTATTGATTATAATTGGAAATAAGTAAAAGTTACAGTTATTTTGATAGTAAAATTAATGTTGCTTTCAAAACTTAAATAACTATTTAAATGTAAGAAAAACGTAATTTATCCAAACATGTTTGGGAACTAAAAGTAACTTTTATTTATTTTAAAGTTTAGCCAAACCCGCTCTTTACCCTTGGTTAGATGTATTTATTTTGTTAATCTGTTGATGCAAAGGTTGATGAGAAAGGAATGAGGTGGTTCTATACGGGTGATATAGGGCAATTTCATGCTGACGGTTGCCTTGAGATTATTGATCGTAAAAAGGACATCGTCAAACTTCAGCATGGAGAATATGTTTCCCTAGGAAAGGTACAGATTTTATGTACCCTTGCAGTTAGGGTGTTTTACATTATAGTTCACCCACTTATAGCGTTGTTTCACTTTTTTCACCATCGTCGAACTTTAATTTTTGTTTCAATTTAGGCACTCCATCTTATCGAATTAACAAATATGCTGATGTGGTATGGAAAATTCAGTTTGTCCATGATTTTTGTTTTCCAACTTGGTATAACGGCTTGTTGGACAAGTTTTGCTTCCTTTTTTTGTTTATGTATAAGAAAAGCTCATTTTAAATTACTTCTCCAACAATATGCATTTTCGCCTGTGCTAACGGACTTTACATGCCACGTTTCCATTAATTCTGTAAGACAGTGTGCCTAGCTAAAATAAAAATGAAGTTCAGAGACTAACTTGGAAACAAAAGTTTGTTGCCTGAACGAAACAATGTCATAAGTTAGGTGAATAACAATGCTGCTATTTGATATTTGTTAGCATCGAACTTTTCTCGGGTATCATTGGTTTTTCCTATGCAGGTCGAGGCTGCTCTAATTATTAGCCCGTATGTCGACAATATCATGTTGTATGCTGATTCTTTTCGTAGTTACTGTGTGGCATTAGTCGTAGCATCGCAGGCTGCTGTTAAAGAATGGGCTTCGAACAATGGAATCGAATATTCTGATTTTTCGGACTTGTGCCAGAAAGAAGAAACTGTGAAGGAAGTCTATGCTTCGTTACTTAAGGTACTTTTCTTGATTATTAATTGACTTTTCCCTCGTTTGGAAATTGAGAGATTTATTAAAGAATTGAGCTTGCACGTACAATAACGTTGTTGGGTTGGTAGGTAAGATTATTTTGTGGTTTTGTGAGAAATATTATTACAAGAAAAGATCGCAAGCTCCACTACGAATCCCCTATCTTGCATGTTTGACTATGCTTAAATTATAATTTAAAAGGGCCAAACATACTTTTTATTCAATACATTTCATAGGACTTGCATCTTATAATCACTTATAAGCCCTCCCAAGCATGCTCATATCATTGAAAATGAGGAACAAAGTCTTGTTCGTCTGACTTTTTTCTGTTTGATATCTTAAGTCGAGTAATTCTCTATTTCATTCGTTCTACAGGCTGCGAAGGGTGCTCGACTGGAGAAGTTTGAGACTCCGGCAAAGATAAAGCTGCTATCAGAAGCTTGGACACCTGAATCTGGGCTTGTCACTGCAGCTCTCAAGATCAAGAGAGAGGTCGTTAGGAAAACGTTCTCTGATGAACTCGCCAAGCTATATTCGTCATCGTAGATGTCAAGATTACCCTTTGTTGCAGAGTATCTAGAAATCTTGAATCTCCAACGTTTTTATTTTTAAGATTTTAAGAAAGGAGAAATGAACATCTATTTTCGACTTGAATTTTGTTACTGCTGCTTCAGATTATTCATTATCCTTGGGTCTGTTTGTTCTGTGAGTTCAAGTTTCGCTGTCAATTGATGAAAATTTAGCATGCACGTGAGAAAGCTTTTGAACGAGAATTTGTCAATATTGCAGGTTGGATAGTCGCACTTCTGTTTTTTCATTTTTCATTTTTATTTTTTTGGAAATATAAGGACATTTAAATTAAGTCATCATTGAAAAAGAAAAAGAAAATGAAAATTATATATGAGGGAAACTTACAAAATACACATTGTATCTAAGTTGTAATTATACTTTATGTACCATGTTTTATAGATTCACCTTTTACCCTCGACACTTTACATGATGGTTAAAGAAAGCACTAATTGCTGAAAAATTCACAAATATATAATTATAAATAATTGAACTGGCAAAATATCCTTAAATGAAATATATTTAATGTGTATTTTTCTTATAATTCTATTATTATTAAACGCCTTATTTCTGAAACTTTTTTTTAAGTTATCCCTACTATATAAAAAGGAGATGTGAAGTTATTGTAGAAAGCAACAGTGACTTAATCCATTTTGTCTCATTGTAGCATTTTTTCTTTTTTCTTTTTAAGTGTGGGAGCAAAAACGACGTCGTTTGTGTTTGCTTTATATATATATATATATATATATATATATATATTTTATTATACAGTAAAAAAGACAATATAAATTTACTCCAACAAGCAACTTTCCATAACTCTTATCGGTTGGAATTATTAAAAAATTAAAATACTAATAATACGATAGAAAATATTTCTAAAATGTAAAAAGTTACAACTGAAAAATTGAAGAGAAATGAATCTTAAATTGAAAAAAATATATTTATAATGAAAACAACACAAAAAACAATAATTCTAAAATGTAAAAGTTACAAGTAAAAATTTGAAGAGAAGGGAATTTTAAATTGAAAAAAAAAATTATTTGTAGTGTAAAAAACAAAACAAAAGTATTTGTACACCGCCTCTCTGCATGGAGACAAGTCTCTATGCATGTCTCCATGCACGCGCTCCGTGCATGGAGGAAATTTTTTTTAATTTATTATTATTATTATTATATACAACATTATAGATAATTTTTTTTTTCAATTTAAAATTCTTTTTTTAATCTAATCTTAAATCAGAAGGGCAATGAAGGGTTACTTTGAGATGCAACAAGTAACCAAATCCCATTTTAGTGTAGATGCAATGTCTGAACAAAAAAATGAATATTGTATATAAGGGAAACTTACAAAATACACATTGTATATAAGTTGTAATTATACTTTATGTACCATGTTTAATAGATTTACGTTTTACCTACGACATTTTACATGATGGTTAATGAAAGCACCAATGTTGAAAAATTCACAAATATATAATTATAAATAATTGAACTGGCAAAATATCCTTACTTCNCCAAAAAAAAAAAAAAAAATAAATCATGGGATTCTGCAATTTTCATCCCAAAGAAGAAGTTGTAGGGGTCTGTGCCTTGTGCTTGAATGAAAGGCTTCAAATTCTAGCTTCAAAAAATGGCTATCTTCAAGGAACTTACAGCCGCAAAAAGACTCAAAGACCCCTGCCAAAGATTTTTGCTTTAAGCAATCTGCTCAATCGACTTGATATTGGACAGCAGAAATCTGAGGGTAATTTTGGCAGTTCCTCTAGCAGTCAAGAAGGTTAGAGGTCTTCTCTCTCTGTCTGTCTGTTGTGTGTGGTTTCCTTTTCTTTTAGATCTTCTATTTGTCTATGGTTTTGAATTGCCATAGAGAAAAGATCACCAGAAGTAGAAAACGGGGATAAAAACAGTATTTGTGATAGAAACTTAGAAAATTCATAGTTGAATCACTTTGTCTAAAGCTTTTAAAGGTTCGACTTAGTTGAGTATAAACATGTTATACATCTATCTTCTCGACCGCAAATGACACTATACTTTCCGATATTAGTTTTAGGGGATCGTTCTCTTTGAGTTTAGTTTGAGAGGCGTGAGATCACTATTGTAATCTTTTTCTTCTTTACTATAAAACCATAATCTGAAAATTTGTGTTATTGCTACCCGTATATGCTTTTGATTTAATATCATAAAATTCATGTCAACAAATGGAAAGATGTTAACACATTTTTTGACACTTTGACATATTACAAAGTATCGGATCGATCTTAAGCAACAATAAATTGAGCAAATGGCAAAATAGATTTCACCTAGTTGACATTAAATTTATTAAGAACGATAGTTGTTTTTCTAATGATTTGAATATTTTTATACTAACTAGTTTATCNTTTCACCTAGTTGACATTAAATTTATTAAGAACGATAGTTGTTTTTCTAATGATTTGAATATTTTTATACTAACTAGTTTATCGTTTTTCTTCGAGAATTTAAATCTATCCCAAATATTGTAACAAATTGTAGACTCTTTCATATCAATCAAGTTTGAAGATAATGGTGAAATTTCTTGGAACCAAAAATGGAGAAACCCTAATGGCAAGATCAACAGTGTAGCTATAGAGCAATCGAAACCGCGCGCAGCGCTGAGGTGGCAAAAGCGGATTGGCAATCTATTCCAGCTCATCAAATGGAAGAGGTCCAGCAAAGGAAATGTTTGCCACGTGGGCACTAAATTAGACAGGTCCAAGGTTAGATATGGATGGATAAGGACACTGAGAAAGAGGACTAAAGAATAAAGGGTTATGTATAGAAAAAGAAAAAGAGTCTTGAACTGTTTATCCAATGAGCCCACAATATTTTATGCTTAGGAGCAAAGGCTCAATGAAAATTACAATTTTATATAATTGTAATTGTATAGTGATATTTTTACCCTTATTAAAAATTTCACGTGCACCTCATATGTCCAACATCATCGCCTAAACGGAAAGAATTTGTAAGTGACAATAATGTGATAACTAATGGAAGGTTGAAGTTAAAAATATTAAAGAAAAAGAGCCGAGGACAAAAGTGCAATGAGGAGCAAATGTTGAGGTCAAAATGTGGAACTTAGCCAAAAACAAATGATGCTTTTGTATCATAGAAGCTAACTCCCATAATAGATTGAGAGTGAGAGTTTTAATGACGTGAAGAGATTTTCGATATTCATCAAGTAGAATGTGTGTATTCATTATTTTAGTTAAAGATACAAGAACTCTTAAAATATGCACTTCTAAAACTTCAAGGACGTGTCCAGTATGAACATATATATCGTATTGGACTGAATTTTGTTTCTTCTTTAATATGCTCAATACATATTTCACTTTATCAAATATTTTATGAGAATTCATATAAATGAAGTTAGAAATAAAAAATAGCATTTCCAAAGAATGTAATAGTTACTTTTTTGGAATGGAAAATAGACAAAAATTGATGCTCCACTCAAGGAAACAAAAGATAGTGAAGGGCCATACATAATTTGCTTTTTCAAATTGGCTTAAAATGATAAAACGTGCTCTTGTCCTCAAATAATTTGGAATATTTTTCAACTGTCAAAAGATTTTTAATCATAAAAGTTGCTCTGTATCTCCATAGATGCACACTGGCATGCATGTGCAAGGAATTGACTGGTGCCTGTCTACTAATCTCAATAGTATTAAAGAAGTTTTTGTTTATTGAATTTATGTTTGTTCCCTATTTTTTAAAATTTATTTTTTTTTAAACTTTTTTTAATCATATTTTATGGGACTCATAACTTTTATCAACTTTTCCAATCATACGTTTCATCAACTTTTATCAAAATTTACTAAAAATATGATTTTTAACTGAATCAAACAAGGTTAAATACATTAGATTTTGGGGATATACATGAAAATGGCCAAAATAATATATAACCTTTTCCAAATTGGCCTTTGACTTTTTTAGAAATTTGAAACTACCCAAAATATCCTTGAAAAAATTTATCAACCAACCCTTTATATAATAAAAAGTTTCTTTTTTAGTCCTTAAAAAATCTAACAAATAATTTTTCTAAAAATTTGTAAAAATTATTAATGAATAATTATAAAATGGAAAAGCCCAAATATAAGAGAGGACCATATAATATAAAAAAGGTTGTTAAAAATAAAAAAGAAATTAAATTTGAAAAAGAAATTGATAAGATAGGATATCAAGAACAATTATATGCATCACAAGAAATATTAAAATGTTTTAAAGAAAACTTATTAGAAAATTTCGCTAAAGGAATTGTAAGGTCAATAATCATAAAAGATATACAAGATATAATAGATAAATTGGCAAAAAGAATGAAAAGTATCTCAAAATATGAAATACCTTTTGGAACAGACATAGATATGATAACAGATATTGATATTATAAATTCTCAAACATTATTAGATTTTGAAGAATTACTTAAAAATTTATGAAAAGGATAATAAAAAATAGATTACCACAAGTATACAAAAAATTAGTTTTTATCTTAAAACTTTATATACACCTAGTTGGAAAAATAAAAGAGTTTTTGGAATATTAAAATTTTAGATTTTTAG